TGGCTGAGCGAGGGGCGGGCGCAGCACCGAGGGTTGCGATCCCGTTGCCGGTCCCGGTCCGGTACGGGCGCGACACTGAGGGTTGTGATCCGTTGCCGGACATGAAAAGTGACAAAAAGGAAAAAAAATTTAAAAAAAAATAAAAAAATAAAAATAAAAAATAAAAATATTCTACCCTGAGCAACTATTATTTGTATTTAAAAAAAAAAAATGTTATATGGGCTGGCCAGTTATCTCAGTTGGCTAGAGCCCAATGTTGTAATACCAAGGTCAAGAGTTCAGATCCCAGCACTGGCCAGCGCAAAAAAAAAAAGGTATAGTATTTTATATATGTACATACATACACACACACATAATTTTTAGTGAGTTGACCTTTAATGATATATATGGCAATCCTTAAAGTCCTTTACTTTCTTCATGCTACAGAAATTTCCTGAATTTATCACAACATATAATTTTATTTTTAAAAAATCTAGTACAAGACCATTTTACATAAATAAATACATTAACACGTATTTTATGTTAACATGATTGAAAGAAAATAAACCAAAATATAGTCTGTTCTACTACAATCTGTTTCTTTAAAGGAAGGAAATAGGTGCATTTGTAGTTAGTAAACAGAGGACTAATGTCAGTATAAGGTGAAAGTTGTGCTGGTTCATACACAACTTTCTACAACTTTAAAGCTTTAACAATACATGAAGACATAAAGGACAAACAGCTGAATATATCCTACAAAAGTGTCTTTCTTCAATGCAGTGATTAGTATAGTTGCCTCAAAAACTCCTAACCCTTTCCACTATTATGATATCCAGGTGTAGGAGGCAAAATAATGGCCACTCAAAGATGTCCATGTCACAATCCTCATAACCTGTGAATACGCTACATGGCATAGGGGAAATCAAAGTGGCAGATGGAATTAATCAGCTAATCAGTTGTTAACTGGCTGACCTTAAGATAGGGAGATGATTCTGGATTACCTGGGTAGACCCAACACAATCACAATGGTCCATAAAAACAGAAAACACAGAAGAGAGTCAGAGGGAAAGTGACTATAAAAGGTCAAGAGTGATGAGGATTCAACCAGCAGTTGCTGTCTTAAAAATGGAGCAAGGGGGCCATGAGCGAAGGAATGTAGGTGGCCTCTAAAAGGTAAAAAAAGGCAAGGAAATGGACTCTTCCCCTACAGCCTCCAGAAATTAACACTACTAACACCTTGATTTTAGCACAATGAGACCTGTGTCAGACTTCTGACCTGCACAACTCTAAGATAATAAATACCTATTGTTTTAAGCTACAAAGTTTGTGGTACTCTGTTACAGCAGCAACAAAAAACTAATACAGCAGGGAAACTGCGAGTACAGATTAAAAAGTTACAAAGGCATTTCCTTCATTTATTTTAAAATAAAAATGACTGACGAAGAATGTTATCCCTGGATGACGTTTTTAATTATGATAAATTCTTCCTCAAAGAAGGAAGCATAAGATTCACAATATAAGGATGCAAAGCATGGACTGACTGTAATTCAAGGGGCAAACGCTAGTGGAGATTTAACTATGCTAGTATTTTTATTGACAGTTATCAGTTTTTGTTACAGCTCTGTTTAAAAAGTTGCACATGGTTTTTTGTTATTTTTAACAGCTTTATTGAGATCTAATTCACAGACCATAAAATTCACCCACTTTAAGTGTAACATTTAATAGTTTTTAGTATATTCACAGATCTGTGCAACAACAACCACAGTCTAACTTTAGAACATTTCCATCACTCCCTGTTTCCTTCCAACTAGCCCTAGACAACCACTAATCTACTTTCTATCTCTATGGATTTACCTATTCTGGACATTTCATATAAAAGAAATCATAGGGCCGGCCCGGTGGTGCACTGGATAAGTGCACCGCTTGGGAAGCGCGGCGGCGCTCCCGCCCGAGGGTTCGGATCCCACATACAGACCGGTTCCCGCTCACTGGCTGAGCGAGGCGCGGGAGCAACACCGAGGGTTGCAGTCCCGTTGCCGGTCCCCGGTCCGGTGCGGGGGCAACACTGAGGGTTGCGATCCGTTGCCAGACACGGAAAAAGACAAAAGACAAAA